TGCTCATCTCCGTTTCAAAGCTGAAAAGCCAGTGTTGTCCGAAGACATCTCTGTGGTCATGTGGTCAGCGTGACTAAATGTCGAAGGCGCACGGAGCACTATTATCTTCCCACCAAAGGTGGTTCCTATTTTTCTACTTGCATTTTTACATGCTTTCGAACTGCTAGGTTGGCAGAAGCTGGGACAAGTAACGGGAGCTCACTCCATTACATGGCGCTAGGGATTCGAACTGCTGAACTGCCGACATTTCTGATCAACAAGCTCAGCATCTTAGCCACAATCCCTTAGCAGTCATTAATAAAACGCAATTAGGATAAATTATTCCATCAACTGATCCTGTTAATGAATCTCAATTCCTTGTCTGTCCCTAAACTACCCAGTAGGAAATTTTTCTATTTTGTTTACTGCCTTTACAAAAGTTCTCACGTCCCTTAAGTCGTTCCTTTCAGCATTTATATTTAATTATTAAACATTGCAAGTCAATAATATATACTTAGGTCCATGTGCTATCTTATTTACTGAACATCTGATCAGGAAGCAGCTGATTGTTTAGTGTCCTTAAAGGTCATTTTGCAGAAAATCTACTGTTAATGTTTTACCTCTCTATACTAAATATATCAAAGGGTAGTTGCCTGGGATTAGTACCTTCTTATTTTACTGAGTGTCAACTTGATGTGAGGAAACTTCTCCTTGAAGGTCTCATTCATATCTTTCTTAAGGTCCGATGGCTTCACATAATCAATGACTGTAGTCTGTAATATATTACAAACAAGATTTAATATCCATTTGCCATTAAAATCTCTGCCTCTTCCTTTTCCTCTTTCTTTCAAAAATTACCATGGTAATTATTTTCTAATGCACTTCTGTTTTATCAAAGAACAATAAAAGAGTTTGTGGTATTTTCAAAATAATGTAAATATCATTGCATAGGCTTTCATAAGCTCAAGATTTCTTTATCAATATCCACAAATAGTGTAAATGTGAAAATCATGCATGGACCACTCATACACACACAAATACGTTACTAATTACTTTTTCACAATTAGCTGGGCCAAAAAGCAAAGGGCAGCAGTAGGTTTGCATGTAGCCTACTCTGAATTTTATTGCTGGGAACAATTCTTCACAGAGACGCCAAGCAGAACTTTTGCAGGTTGTAAATGAGTTCCTTAAGCCAATCTGAAAGCTGACTATTTACAGTACCCACATTGCACTTTGAATGTAAAGTTACTCATGTACACTTCAGACTGAGTAGTTGCAAGCTCTACTGAAGTATCATGTAATTGAAAATTTATGGGATCTAGTTCATAGTTATGGTTTAAGCATTTGGACAGATGTCCATAGAGATCAGGCCTATTCTCTGATGCTTACTTATTATAGCTCATAAGATCTAGCAGGAAGGATAGTGGCCAGTAAGTTGCATATATGGAAGCCAATTACTCAGACTAGAGGTAAGCAACCTTGTAGACAGAGAAGCCATATTTTTTTAATATGAGATTCCTCAAAGAATCTCAAGGGGTATATGCCAATAATACTGTGTTGTTATGAAAGTGGCATGGGTCCTTGGAAGAAGAGAAAATTTAGTATAAAACAGATACATTAAACCTAACTAAGGTTTCATAAAACTATTTTAATTTTAATTTTCCAGGGAGGAACACCTCACAACTGGGCCATTGTAAAGGGGAATTCTGGTAAATTTTAATAGCACGATCTTAGATAATTTAGGGAAACCTTCTACCCCAGGAAGAAAACTCATTTAATAATTTTTAAGCCCCACTAGGGGCTTAAAAAAATAAGTTAAAAATTAAGACTTGTGGAATTTCTAAATAAAAATAACAATACAAAAGTTCACAATACAATTTATTTCTAACCTACACAATTCAAGTTTTACAATATTTACCAGAGCAATCAAGTGGCAGGCTAGCAGCATAGTGTGTAAAAACTCATAACACTGAAATGTTATTGTGTGGTACATGAAATATGTCTATCTCTATCTCACAATTTTGAGATAGTTAAGAAAGTCTAGTTTAAGAAGTTGCCAATTTGCAGCTAGGTACACTGCATACATCTTGCAAGCCATGGGTTGCTAACCTCTCATTTAAATCCATTTTTAAATCTATTATTTCAACCCTAATTATAGTTTAAACACTAGAAATTATATATTGCATCAGAGACAGGAGATTGCTATTCTATTGCAAGTCCTATTCCATCTTGCAGAAGCACCTTATTAATTACTGGGGGTCCCTGTTACAATACCATTCCTACCTGCAGGACTTATATACTCACTTTCGTTATGCCACATTATATCTTCACAACTGGATCCCATTGGAGAAGCCACTGGTAACTCTGGTTTGGATTGTGATCCCATAAAACTAAAACCACAGTTCTCAGTAGCTTCTCCAGTGGAACCAGTTCTATCTCTTCATTTTATTTGTTTTAAGAGGTTACATGGATGCAATCATGGGCTAGATATAGATCAATACATTGAATCTGAAAGAATTGCTATATACAAACAGCTGCCAAGTTTCAGAATTAGAGAGATGGCCTATACTTTTTTCCTCTAAAGAAACAAGTTTGTACTTTATGGTCCTCCTTGACCCCAAAATATCAAAACAGATACATGTCTCTTCAATGGTGTTTAGGTTCAGGTTGTGCACTAGCCATTAATTATGGTTATTTTTCATTCTCACATCTATCTATCTATCTATCTATCTATGTATCATCTATCTATCTATCTATCTATCTATCTATCTATCTATCTATCTAT